GCTAAATCTCTGACTCTACTAAAAATACAAAAATTAGCCAGGCATGGTGGCGGGCACCTATAGTCCCAGCTATGTGGGAGGCTGAAACACAAGAATCACTTGAACCCTGGAGGCGGAGGTTGCGGTGAGCCAAGATCACACCTCTGCACTCCAGCCTGGGTGATAAAGTGAGACTCCATGAAAAAAACAAACCCAGCCTCACAATTTATATACTTGGCTTTGTGTACTTTTGCCAGTTCTTTTGCTTTTCTCACAGTCCCATGGTATTTTTTGCCTGAGAATTTGGAAGAAGGGCCACAGTCCCTCTGCTACAGGACCCCACAGCACCGGGCGCATTTGTGCTGAGAACTAATCATTGCTGCCTACAAAAATACTTCCTCACCCTCTTGCACAAAGGTATTCTTGCCTTGAGAACCAGTGAATGTTAGTCTGTGAAGAGTCCCTTGTGCTTTGTGCTTTTGTTTCCCTGGGGAAATTGTTTTACTGAGATCATAGGCAGATCTAGCTGGGTGGGGACCCAGATGAGGCAAGTAAGACATTCACTCCGGGGCAAAATGTAAGGGGTAACACAAAACTTAGCAGCCAGCCAGGTGCAGTGGCACACACTTTTAATCCCAGCTATTCAAGAGGCTGAGGCAGAAGGATTGCTGGAGCCCAAGAGTTTGAGACCCGTATGGGCAATATAGCTAGCTGTCACAAAAAAAAAAGAAAAAAAAAATCCTCACTAACCAAAATGAATCATAATTTAATGCCATTTTATTTTTTCTCCTGGAGACAGAGTCTATTTCTGTCACCCAGGCTGGAATGCAGTGGCACAATATCAGCTAACTGCAACCTCTACTTCCTGGGTTCAATTAATTCTCCTGCCTCAGCCTCCCAAATACCTAAGATTACAGGTGCATGCCACCACGCCCGGCTAATTTTTTGTATTTTTAGTAGAGACAGGGTTTCATCATATTGGACAGGCTGATCTCAATCTCCTGACCCACCTGCCTCAGCCTCCCAAAGTGCTGGAATTACAGGTGTGAGTCATCCCACCCACCAGCTATTGTAATTACAGTATTAATCACCCTGAGAGCCCTGCACAGTGGCTTTTGCTCCACTTTTCCAGAGAAGGTAACTGGGACTTGGAAAGGTTACAGAATTCCCCAAAGGCACTGAGTTAGCCTGGGAGGAATGAGGATTCAAATTTGGTTCAGTGCTTGTTCTTTTAGCTACACTTTGCTGGCCACAAACAATACCTACCACATGGACTATATTTCAAATCTGTCGGATGGTTTTAGCACATTTTTAAATTGGGGGGGTACATCCTTTGAAGTATCTTTTTTCACTTTCTGTAATTTTAAACATCTTTTTTAAAGCCAGTTCATCTGAGACCTCTTAATGTCACACAAACGAGAAATGCCAAATGGCTAATTAAAAACAAGAACGTTCAGAGAAAAGCAGGCATCTGGCATCTGCCAACAAACAGATCATCGTTCTCCACAGTTACAGGAAGACCCATCAGTGCAGTCCATGCCCTACTGTCACCTCCCTCCCCTCTGCTTGGCCGTGGCAGGGAATTGAAAGACAGGGGAGGAGGAATGAAGGAACAGGAAGGGCACGGAACGCTTTATTAGAGACTAAAACAGCATCAGATGTCACCACCTTAAAGTTCTTTTTTTCTTTTCTTTTTTTTTAAGACAGGGTCTCACTCTGTCACCCAGGCTGGAGTACAGTGGCGCCATCCCGGCTCACTGCAATCTCCGCCTCCTGAGTTCAAGCGATTCTCCTACCTCAGCCTCCCAAGTAGCTGGGATTACAGGCACACACCACGACACCCGGCCTCCACCACTTAAAAGTTGTACCCCACACCTGCTAAACTGTCAATCTAAATAGAAACCTTTTTTTTTTTTTTTTTTTTTTGAGACAGACCCTCACTCTGTCGCCCAGGCTGGAGTACGGTGGTGCCATCTCGGCTCACTGCAGCCTCCACCTCCCGGGTTCAAATGATTCTCCTGCCTCAGCCCCCTGAGTAGCTGGGATTACAAGCGCGACCCACTGTGCCCTGCCTAGAAACCATTTTCTAACCTGAAAAAATGTATTTAAAAAAACATGAGGAGCCGGGGGGCAAGGAAGTAAGGTCCATTTATGCAGTCTCATGTTCCCATGAGTGGATTTGGTCTTCAGGGGGAAACTAGACAAGCAGGAGACAAGATCACCCACCCCTGGTGATCTCTTTCGTTCTATTCATTTGCTTATTCACTCACTTGTTCAATCAGTAAGCATTTGTTAAAGACCTAGTATGTACCAGGCACTGTTCTAGGCACCTGGCACATAGCAGTGGGGGGAAAAATTCATGAAGCCTTTATTAAAGTGGAGACGTGGCCAGGCACAGTGGCTCAAACACCTGTAATCCCAGTACTTTTGGAGGCGAGGTGGGCAGATCACCTGAGGTCAGGAGTTCCAGATCAGCCTAGCTAACATGGCGAAACCCCGTTTCTACTAAAAATGCAAGGAAATTAGCCAGGTGTGGTGACAGGCACCTGTAATCCCAGCTACTCTGGTGGCTTAAACAGGAGAATCACTTGAACCCAGGAGACAGAGGTTGCAGTGAGCCGAGATGGTGCCCCTGCACTCCAAACTGAACGACAAAGCAAGACTCCATCTCAAAAAAATAAAAATAAAATAAAGTAGAGGAGTGAGACAATAAACAACTGAATGAGTAAACTCATAACATGCCAGAAAATGCAAGATGCTATGAGGAAGAGTAACGCAGAGCAAGAGGAAGGAGGCAAGTGTGTCTGTGTGTGCGTATGTACATGAGCGTGCATGTACGTGTGTGTGCACACTCTTGTGGACAGCATGGTCATAGAAGACCTCATGGAGAAGGTAACCTTGAGCAGAGACCAACAGGAAGTGAAGGAAAGAGCTACATCGATATTTGCAAGAGGATTCCAGGCAGGAAGAAGAGCCAGTGCAAAGGCCCTGAGGCAGAAGTGGGTTTGGTGTATTTGCAGAACTGCATGGAAGTCAGGGTGGCTGGAGGAGAGGAGAGTGGAGAGTCTACGGCGGTCAGGAGAGCGCACAGAGAGGCCTCCTAGTAGGGTTCATCAGACACTCTTAGGTTTTATAAGCTGTAAAGGGGGAGCACTGGGAGGGCCTGAGCAGAGAAGAGAAGTCATCTGACTTCCATTCAAAAAGGGTCATTCACGCTACTGTGTTGAGAAAATGTGGGCGGGAGCGGGGAGAAGAGATGGGAGACTAGAGTGATCATTGAGAAGAGAGGATGACTGGGACACGTAGTTGAGGTAGTGACCAAGGGGTAGCAACCACTCCACATATTCCCAAGCTAGAGCTGATGGGATTTGCTACTGGACTGGAATGAGGGATAACAGGGAAAGACAGGCCCAAGGATGACACCAAGGTTTGCAGCCAGAGCAGCAGTGGAGTTGCCATTGACTGTGACAGAGGACCCTGGGGAAAGACCACGTTTGGGATAAGTCAGGAGTTTTGTTTTGGACATACTAAACCAGAGGGAGCTAAGGAAAGAGCTCCCAAGGAGGGGAAGGTCCCAACCAATCCAGTTGCAGAAACATGTTCAGAACAGGGTTTTTTTGGGGTTTTTTGTTTTTGTTTTGACATGAAGTCTCACTCTCGTCATCCAGGCTGCAGTGCAATAGCACGATCTCGGCTCACTGCAACATCTGCCTCCCGGGTTGAAGTGATTCTCCTGCCTCAGCCTCCTGAGTAGCTGGGATTACAGACACGCCATCACACCTGGATAATATATGTATTTTTAGTAAAGACAGGATTTCATCATGTTGGCCAGGCTGGTCTCAAACTCCTGACCTCAGGTGAATTCACCAACCTCTACCTCCCAAAGTGTCACAATCACAGGCATAAGGCAGCACTCCAGGCAGAATAGTTATTTTTTAATAGTCTATATGTTTTTTGTTTTTTATCCCAGATTTTTTGCGTTAATTTTGTTGTTGCTTTTTGTTGGGGGGGCAGAGCAGATACATGCCCTTGCCATGTCACCCAGGCTGAGCACAGAGCAATCATAGCTCCCTGCAACCTAGACTTTCTGAGATCAAGCAATCCTCCCACCTCAGCCTCCTGAGTAGCTGAGACTACAGGTGTGCACCACCACTCCCAGTTAATTTTTATTTTATTTAAAAAATTTTTGGGTAGAGTCAAGTTCTCACTATGCTGCCCAGGCTGCTTCACAAACTCCTGGGCTCAAGCAATACTCCCACCTCCGCCTTCTGAGTAGCTGGGACTGTAGACATGCACCACCGTGCCCAGTGGCTAATTTTGGGCATTTTTGTAGATACAATGTAATAGTCCTTCCTCACACTGCTAAGAAAGACATACCTGAGACTGGGTAATTTACAAAGGAAAGAGGTTTAATTGACTCCCAGCTCAGCATGGCTGGGGAGGCCTCAGGAAACTTACAATCACGGCAGAAGGGGAAGGAAACACATCCTTGTTCACACAGCGGCAGCAGGGAGCAGTGCTGAGCAAAAGTGGGGGAAAGCCCCGTATAAAACCATCAGATCGTGTGAGAACTCACTATCATGAAAACAGCATGGGGGTAACCACACTCACGATTCAGTTAGCTCCCACCAGGTCCCTCCCACGACACGTGGGGATTATGCTACAATTCAAGATGAGATTTGGGTAGGGACACAGTCAAACCTTATCAGACGGGGTTTCACCACGTTGCCCAGGCTGGTCTCAAACTCCTGGGCTCAAGTGATCCTCCTTCCTTGGCCTCCCAAAATGTTGGGATTACAGGCATGAGCCACCATGCCTGGACTGATTGGTTTTAATATAGATTGCATTAACATGTTTTTTATCGTGATGTCTGAGGTTTTGGGTGCCCCCTTAAGTTGTGCACCTGAGGTGAGGGCCTCACTCCCCCTTACCCTAGTCCCAGCCCTGTTCTTGGGAAACTGGAGTGCAGAGAGGCCCTGCTTTTTCCGCCACAGCCACAGAGCTCCTGTGTTTCTCCCCAGGTCTCCCTGCAATACACCTCCGATGGCAATTGGTACCACACCTGCGGAGGATCCCTGATAACCAACAGCTGGGTCCTGACGGCAGCTCACTGCATCAGGTAACTGCTATTCCCTGGACACTTGGCCTGCTCACCAGCCGGTGCTCATTTCTGAGCTGGGGGCTCAAATGGCCTGAACCACGCTACATAAAGGAATCTTGCAAATAACCACTAGCCTGGCCGAGACACAAGCTGTAGTCAATCAATGGTTCAGTGTGTTGGCCCATCAATGTCAGTACATGGCATAGATGGGGTATCCTGTGCCAGGTACTGAGGGAGGATGAGGAGAAGGGGAAGGCCTAATCTCTGCCCTCTTGGGGAAACTACCTGTGGCCTCTGGATCTGGAATTGGGTTCCCTTGAACAACTTGACTTCTCAAAGCTTCAATACCATCACCTGCAGAAAACAATGGAATAACAGAATTTAGTGTGGATTCAATGAGTTGATTTACTAAAGGGCCTGACACTTAGTAAGTGCCCAGTGAAAGCTAATTCTCAATTTAGACTAATTACAAAGGCCCACAAGGTTCTGCAATGTTGTTCACTTATCCTCTTCGTTGTCCGTGACCTCTGCTCATCACAGCTGGAACTCACCAGAGCTTTTGCTGGGTCGTTGTGACTCCCTACCAGGAGTGATCCCTTCTCCCATCTAATTTATAATAAGCTCCAGGAGGTGATGGGAAAACCAATAGAGACTTACAGTCAGGAGTCCTGGCTTCTGGTTCTGGTTTCTCACTAACGGTGGGACTCTGGGCCAGGTTACACCTCTCTGGGCCTCAGTTTCCCCATCTGAAAATGAAAGGTGGGAAAAATGTCCTTGAGAGCAAATGACTCCTGTTTTCTCTGTGTTCATCTCATTCCCTCCATAATCCTACAGAGTCTGTGTTATTACAACATTTATTTTATAGTATAGTTTAAAGTTAGTATGGTAACAATTATTATATGATCATAGTTCTTATGTTATATACTTTAGGCTCTATTATAACTAACGGATTGTCCCAGGGGAGGAAAGATCCCCAAGCCCAAGCCCCACCTAGTGGCTCACGCAGCAGCCAGTTACTTGGGTCTATCTCAACACTGTCCAAAGCCAGGCCTCTGGAGGTGACCCTCTCCCTGGGCCCCCTTTCTCCCAGCTCCTCCAGGACCTACCACGTGGCGCTGGGACGGCACAACCTCTGCATTGTGGAGCCTGGCTCACTGACCGTCAGTGTCTCTAAGACTGTGAAACACGAGGACTGGAACTCCAGCGATGTCTCCAATGGGTTCGTTTCTGTCTGGGTGCACTTGGGGGTGAGGTTGTCAGGGAACACATGGGGGTCTCACAGAGGCAGGGGTCTCAACTCCACCACATGCCCTCTGCTGCTTCTTTAGGGAAGGGGAAGGAACTCTGGCCTCTTAGATGTGGAACCAGCTCCAAAGATGTCTGGGGTGGGGATGTGACCTCAGGAGGGAGAAGCAAAGACTGCCAGAGTGACCTGAGTTTGCTGACAGTCAAGCCTGCAGGGTCCCTGTCCGCTGAGCGTGTATCTACTTCCTGGGTACACAGGGACAGTGCTGTCGATCCTGTGACTGTCCCTAGAATAGGACACAATCTCTCCTGCCTTGCCCCTTTCAACAAGGCCCTCTGCATTTTCAAAGATGCCCTGGGACCCTGCCACTCAGAGCAAGCTGGGGCAACGTACAGGGAACGATGACAAGGTCTCAGAGCCCTCCAAAGCCCCACAGGGCAGGAAAAGTCAACCCTGTCCTCATGCTCTGCCTCTGCACTGACCCAGGTATGACATTGCCCTGCTCAAACTGGCTCACCCCGTCTCCCTCACCGACAAGATTCAGATGGCCTGCCTCCCTCCTGCTGGCACCATTCTACCCAACAACTACCCCTGCTACGTCACGGGCTGGGGAAGGCTGCGGAGTAAGTGGGAGCCAGGAGCCCCCAGGCCTGGGAGGGAAGGGAGGTGATGTCACCCCTGTCTGGCCAGGGCCTCTCACCTGTCATCCCAGGACGTGTAGCTGCCTGGGAGAGACGGGATGGCATAGGCTGATGCCTGCCTGGGTTCAAATGTCAGCTCTCCCACTTCATGACTGTGACACCTTGGGCACATTACTAGGTCTCTCCATGCAGCACTTTTATCATATGTAAAATGCAAATAATGGGCTGGGCGCCGTAGCTCACGCCTGTAATCCCAGCACTTTGGGAGGCCTGGTGGGTGGATCACTTGAGGTCAGGAGACCAGCCTGACTGACATGGTGAAACCCCGTCTGTACTAAAAATATTTTTAAAATAGCAGGATGTGGCGGTATATGCCTGTAATCCCAGGTACTCGGGAGGCTTAGGCAAGAGAATCGCTTGAACTCAGAAGGTGGAGATTGCAGTGAGCCAAGATTTCGCTACTGCACTCCAGCCTGGGGGACAAAGCAAGACTGCGTCTGAAAAAAAAAAAGGCATAATAATAGCAGCTACATCACAGAGTTGGCAAGAGGATTAAAGGAGATGATCTATAGGAAACCTGGTGTGTGGTAGGTGCTGTGTGTTAGTTGTTGTCACTGTCCCTATGATGGAAAGAAAGTTACAGAGACCATGTGACATCTTCTGTGTGGCCCACAGAGTTCAGAACAGCATTTTCCTCTGTGACCTGAGGCCCCTGGAGCCCTCATGGGACCCTCCGTGCCCCATGGCAAAAGCTGTCCCCTGTGCCATTCGGTCTTGCTGCTCAGAACCTGGCTGAGGGCGGGTCTCCATTGACATAGACTCCAGGGGATAGAGATCCAATGACTGTAGCCACCAAGAGGAACAGAGTTCCCGCCCTTCCCTTGTGAAATCACCAGAGGTTTCGAAGATTCTAGGAAGGGATAAGTGATAATGACCTTATGAGCATAATGACATTATGAGTGATAACGACATTATGACATTTCTTCGTAATGACATAAACCCATAAGTATAATGACATGTTTTTCCAGGGGTACATCCACATACATACCCTCCAATAAATCCCCATTGCCCTCTTGACTGGCTTATCTGTAAACACAAGGACACATGAAATCCTGCGGTGAGCGGTGGTGGAAGAGGCATTTCATGCTTATTAAGACAGAAGCACAAACACCTGTTTGTTTCCCCAGACAACCCTGGGGCAGATGCAGTTCATCTGAGACAGTGAGAGCGGGCAGGCATCCAACTGGTTGGCTTTTAGGCCCAGCTCTGCCGGTCACGGTGAAACCTTGGGCAAGTCACTTCTGAACCTCAGTCTCCTCATCTGTAAAATGGAAACACTGTTGGTGAAGACCAAAAGAGGGGAAAGGTGAAAATGCGTCCTACATTGCAACATGTTATATAAGTGTTAATTACTTATTAGTGATCTTAAGCCAGACCTTTAACTTCTTTTTTATTTATTTATTTATTTATTTTTTGAGACAGGGTCTTGCTCTGTTGACCTGGCTGGAGTGCAGTGGTGCAATCTCGGCTCACTGCAACCTCTGCCTCCCAAGCTCAAGTGATTCTCCTGCCTCAGCCTCCCAAGTAGCTGAAATTATAGCCGGATGCCACCACACCCGGCAAATTTTTGTATTTTAGTAGATACAGGATTTCATCATGTTGATCAGGCTGGTTTCAAACTCTTGACCTCAAGGGATCCATCCACCTTGGCCGCCCTAAGTGCTGGGATTAGAGGGTGACCCACCGTGCCTGGATGACACTTAACTTCCCTAGGCTTCAATCGACAGTGAAGAAGTATGTTAAGCTCATCCTTGCCACTCATAGCTGTGGTAACAGTAATGCAGGGGATGGTGGCTGTGTCATTGGGGGCCACTATGACAGCCCTCTCTTCACCACACCAGCATATTTTTTCCCAAGGAGGGGGCTCTAACTGCCAGGAGGCTCACTTTCCTATTTCAGATAAGTGAAGAAAGCCATGGCGTAGCTCACCATAAAAAGGGATTGTTATAAGGATTTGAAAGTTTCAACCCAAGGGCCGAGATATAGCCAGGCATCAGGAGCAGGCTAGGATTAGGGACTGGAAGCCTGTAAGAAACTCAGGAAACCCTCCCTTGGAATTTCTTTTCTCTGTGAGTCTACTTCATTCTCCACATAAAACAAAATGTCAGTCATTGCCAAAAGCTTCCCAGATTTACGTCCTCTGAAACAGGAACCTCTTAGACCCCATCTCAGGATCCCAGGGGAGGGAGCTCATTGGCTTAGCTTGAGTCAGGTGTTCACTGCTGAACCAATCAACCGTGAGGACACAGTGTAGACAAACATAGCTGTTCGCATATTGCAGTGGATGGAAGACAGTAACAGGGGAAACTCAGTAAGGGTCAACCACTTCCTTTTTCTCAGAAGTCCTTGTATCCCTAATGCTTTCTTTCTGATCTCATTCAGCCAGCGGGCCTGCTTCTTGTGTCCTGCAGCAGGGTCTGTTGCTGGTTGTGGACTATGACACCTGCTCCAGCCCTGACTGGTGGGGCAGCATCGTGAAACCCTGTATGATCTGTGCTGGGGGTGATGGCGTGACCTCCAGCTGCTTCGTGAGTACCAAAATCAGGGGCCCTGCTCAGTGACAAAATGTGGCTTGGGATAAGGCTATAGAGGTCCATCCCTCAATAGGTCCATCCTCCCTCCTCCTGGCAGAAGTACTCTCTAGAAATATGTTCCAGATATATCAGAACCCAATCTTTGTCCAGGCACTGTGACTCTTGCCTATACGCTATCACTTTGGGAGGCCAAGGCGGGCACACCACTTGAGGTCAGCAGTTCGAG